GATTGAAATCATGATGAAAAGAAATGTTAAAGCAAACGACGTAACCCTCAACAGAATCAGGCAGAATGAAAGATCTTTTCAAAACGCACACCTCTAGGTTCTATAAGCTGAAGCAGTGTTTGTAATGCTTCATAATCAAAGAAGATAAGGTATATATATATATATATATTCCGCTTAAACTGAACTTTTCAAAACTTGCCGTTAATTTATGTATGATAATAGTTGACTCGGCGCTAAATTGATATATCGGTCAAACGTCGTACACATATCTTTGCATAGCATATCTGTTTTCATGCGATTTGACAAACTTTGCATTGGCCAAATAATGCAAATCAAAGACAAGTCTCTAGACAGACTGTCAAGATTGTAATCACGATTCCAAGAAATGGAATAGACGAGCAGATAAGTAGATCTAAATCCAATCCGATATTCATGAATCGAGAAAACGATTACAATTCATATATGTCGATGCGGTACAAACATTAGGCCGATCCCCAAATTCACAATAGGATGATATTTGGGAATTTTGTTTCATTCAAAATATTCAAAATAAAATAAATACTTACGCATGCACGATTATTTTAGAAAATTTCTAATTTGTTCTTTTAATTTTTTTTTTATCTTTTCTTTGCAGTTCAATAAGTTCTGAAAATCTCTATCAAACTTATCGCTGAGGTGAATAGTTGAGAAAAAAAAAATTAAGCAAAATCAAAAATGCATATTTTCTAGCGAAAGCATTAAGAAAAAAAAAAAAAAAAAAAAACAACAACAACAACAACAATAACAAAAGCAACAATTTTTAGAAAAAAAAAACAAATATTATTTAAGAAGAATTTCTTCGACATCCATCTTTAATTGACTTTTCCTTACACTACCAAAACAACAATTGAAAGAAAGATAACTAAGGTAAGTTGAAAATTTTTATTCATATTTAACTTTTGTTCAAAGCGAAATTTCACTTCACTCACTCAACTCGAACGAGTCATTTTATACCAGGTTTCACTTTTTGCTCCTAATAAATTTTGGGAAAAGTTAAAAACATAAACAAAACAGAGTAGATTTTTTTCTTTTAATTTCTTTCAATAAAAGATGACAATTATTTAAACTTTGCATAATATATAGAGGTAAGCATTGAATTACCCCCCTCAGGCTTATCTTTTCTGCGTAAAGCAATCGTAATAACCAAACAATAAGCAGATATTTCATCTCAAAGTATTCTTAATTATAAGCGCCGTCAGTCCGCATGTACGTCTGTCTCCCTGTTTGCCTGACTATTTATATGCCGATCCAGTAGACATCGGCCTTAAATTGCCCAAAAGCATTGGAGGGTATCGTACGCAGGTTGGTATTAAAGAAACCAAATCAATCAAAGGGTACGTGCATAGTATACTATAAATAGAGAGAAATGAGAATATCTCCGCAAAAAAAAAAAAAAAAAAATGTTTTTCTTTTTCTCATTACTGGTAAATAATAAAA